AATTTGAACGGGATGTAATTCATGGGGCAGGTTTGTCCGGGTGTTACAATGACAATAACGGCTCACTGCAGCTCCCGCAGCCTTCCCGGCTGTTCCTCCGGCCGCCCTGCTCCCGCACAGCCGCGTTCGGACAACCCCGGGGCTCCGCAGCCCCTGGCAGCGGCCCGGCGTGGGGCTAGAACCTGTGACGTCCCAGTTCCCAGCCCGGCGCGTTGCCCCTGAGCCATCTGTTCCCGCCAAAGGCCCCTCCCCTCGCAGCCCCGCGCCGGGGGCGCAGCTCAGGGGTAGAGCGTCAGCCTCCAAGCGCAGAGGTCTCGAGTTCGAGCCCCGCGGGCGTACACACAGCGGAGGCTGCAGACTGATTTATCCATCACAGCCCCAGCGACCTTCTGAAAACACTTCAGCAGAGATTCCCCTCCTCTAGACGGACATTATACACGCTTATTCCTATTTAAATTAACGGCAATTACTCAGACAGGAAAAACTAGACCAGCAGCACCTCTGTTGAGCTGGCTTGTTTGTGTGTATGTGCACTATTCAGGAGAGGAGAGGGAAAAGTGTCAAAGTCTGATTTCATGCTTGGCAAAAGATCACCAAGTGATTTCCAAGATCTCAGAGGGTTAAAAAAGTCTCTCCATTGTCTGTCTGTGAGGAGACTTTGGAAGAAGAAATGGTGAAAAAGCAGCTAAAGGAGGGGGCACCTGGAGTTGAACCAGGGACCTCTTGATCTGCAGTCAAATGCTCTACCACTGAGCTATACCCCCCTGGCACAGCACCTGTGCAAGGAGGTTTTAAAAACGTTTCTATAGAAAGACCAGTTTCTACATCCACTGGCCAGACTGTTTTACAGAACAGCCCCCTGTGCACCTTCATGTGCCTGCAAAAGAGTGCAAAGGGAGTTAAATGTAATAAATTATGATAAACATGGTTACTACACAGAATTAAGAACAGACAAAAGTACACACAAGACGGTGAGTAGTTACTCACATGGTGCACACCCCCTGCAGTTTCCTAATAGTCAGGGGCTCAATATCTTGAGTAATGGAGCTCAGAAACCAACGCTGAATGCACAGCACAAGCCACCAGACCCCAAAAGAGCTCTCCATCTTCCTTCTATGACAAAAGGAAGGTTGAAGGAGATGAAAAGAGGGGGCACCTGGAGTTGAACCAGGGACCTCTTGATCTGCAGTCAAATGCTCTACCACTGAGCTATACCCCCCTGGCACAACACCTGCACAAGGTGGTTTTAAAAATATTTCTACAGAGCCAAGTTTCTACATCCATTGCTTGGACTCTTCCACTTGACAGCCCCCTGGGCACCTTCATGTGCCTGCCAAAGGCTGTAAGGAGAATCACTACAGAGAATCATAAACAGAGAGGAGTACACACGAACGGGGATGTGTCTGGCGTGGTGCACAGCTCCTGCAGTTTGAGGCTCAGTTCCTGAGATACTGCAGCTCAGAAACCAACGCTCAGTGCGCAGCACCAGCCACCAGACCCCAGAAGAGCTCTCCGTCTTCCTTCCATGACAAATGTTGGCAAAAGGAAGGTTGAAGGAGAGGAAAAGAGGGGGCACCTGGAGTTGAACCAGGGACCTCTTGATCTGCAGTCAAATGCTCTACCACTGAGCTATACCCCCCTGGCACAACACCTGCGCAAAGAGGTTTCAAAAACGTTCAGATGGTATGTTTTTATGTCCACTGGTTGGATTTTATTACTTGACAGCCCCCTGTGCACCTTCATGTGCCTGCAAAAGGGTGCAAAGCGAGTTAAATATAATAAATTATGATAAACATGGTTACTACACAGAATTAAGAACAGACAAAAGTACACACAAGACTGTGAGTAGTTACTTACACAGTGCACAACCCCTGCAGTTTCCTCATAGTCAGAGGCTCAATATCTTGAGTAACAGAGCTCAGAAACCAAAGCTTAGCACACAGCACAAGCCACCAGACCCCAGAAGAGCTCTCCATCTTCTTTCTTTGACAAAAGGAAGGTTGAAGGAGAGGAAAAGCAGGGGGCACCTGGAGTTGAACCAGGGACCTCTTGATCTGCAGTCAAATGCTCTACCACTGAGCTATACCCCCCTCCTGCACACCTGCTTGTGCACCAACAAAACAATTTAAACTATGTTCTTCCTCAGTTTTTCACTTCTCTGTTCCATACAAACCAAACCCTGCTGCAGAAATCGCAAACCTGAAATCTGAGAGCAGCCAAGACACTGAGTCCTTATGCTCCAACACAGGACACAGACACTGTCTCTCTGCGTCACTTACCAGGCGACCTTGGCCCAGTTCCTCCCAGCTCACACTCTCTCCTCTCCCAGTTGCACTCAGTTCTGAGTACTCTATAACTCAACACAGCAACTACCTCGGTCTGAACTTTTCCCCACAATTTTTAGCTCTTACTGTAACATGAAAAAGCAGTAATAGGAAAGGAAGCAGAGGTGATGTTATCAGCTAGCCTTCCAGTGAACAAACACCCCAAATTCCCAACAAAAAAAAGGATTTTTGAGGGGGCACCCGGATTTGAACCGGGGACCTCTTGATCTGCAGTCAAATGCTCTACCACTGAGCTATACCCCCTGTCTGCTGTATTCCATCCCAGCAGGAAGCTCCCTGGGAATTACCAACAATCACATCAAACACCCACAAATTAATCCCAATCCCAGCACAAAACAGCAGCTTCCCATGAAAAACTCACCTCTCCTCTCAATCCCCCCACTCTCAGCCCTCTTCTCTCCTGGGAAGCTGCTGCTTTCCCTCTGGCCAGCACCTGATCGAACAGAGGACGGAACCTGCAGGCAGTTTGGAGAAGGAAAAAACATTGAAGTAAAGAGCTCCGAACCAACTTTTTCTGGAGAAAAAGGAGAAGGGAGGGGGCGCCCGGATTTGAACCGGGGACCTCTTGATCTGCAGTCAAATGCTCTGCCCCTGAGCTACACCCCCACCTGTGCACCATTCCAGGTGCAGCTCCTGCTCTGCACTCCCCGGGCAGCCCTGCCTGCACCCACTGCGCCCGCAGCGCTGCCTCTGCCCAGCAGCCCTCTCCTCACCCCTCCTTTTACCTTCACCACCTCCCAGCCTCTCAACCACACCTGCAGCCACACTGCTGGAGGCAAAGCTGATGGATTCCCAGTTCTTTTGCTCTAAAGTGTCCCATCACAGAGAAGAACCCTTTTAAACACTGACTTCAAAACACCGATGAACGCACAGAGCTGCACCTCTGTTTGCTCTCCAGGTGTGCCCTGCCATCAGGGAGCACACCAGCCACGCAGAGGAATCACTTGCCACACCACCTCCCACACTGCCCAGTGCCTCTCTGTCCTCCCCAGCTGACAGCCCCAGGACAGGGGACACAGGAAAACAAACACCCAAAGTGTTTAACACGACTGTCGCGCCATGCCCTGCCTCAGCGACTCTGCATGAGTCAAAAACCCAGCACAAGCTGTTAGAACAGGTTGGGGGGAACACTTTCATTTTCATGGTGGTTTCTTACTCATCAGCAGGTCTCTGCATCTCTCCCCAGGTCTGAGGAGCAGCTCCTTCATCGCCACTGCACTGGAAAGACATTCACCTCTCAGACAGACACGGACTTCGACCACAGGTTTGGAGTGTTGTGGTGACAGCCAGAGCGCCCGTCGTACCCGTCCAGGGGTTCCAGGTCTGCTGGGAAGGAGCCACAACCGCTCACCTGCTCCGTGGAACAGCCTGTAGAAAAGAGAGTGGCCCTCAGTCCATGCACATCCTTTTGTTTCCCCTCTCGAGCTGCTGCCAGTGCACAGAAAAAAAAAAGGAATGTCTGAGAAACAGTTTTTGGGCTGCAATATTTTGCAGATTCATGTTAGACCAAAGAGCTGTTTAAAAACACCACTGCTTTACAAACCACTGCAATATCCTGGTCCTTGTCCATCATTACCCATGTTTGTGCCACCAAATCTGAGGCTGTGCTCCCTTCTCCACCCTCCCTCCTCCCCTGTAACCCCTCTGAACCCAAAGCATCAGGAGCAGCATAAAGCTCTAAGCAAAGAGAAATGGGTACAGACTCATGTCGGGGCAGATGGAGGGAAGCCCAACCACACCAGGGGCTGCCTGAGGTTCCCCCAGGAACCAGTCGGGGGAGTAGCAACCTGCTGCCTGCCCTGTGGCCCCCAGCAGTGTGTGTGCTGGAGTCAGTCCGGGTGTTACAGGGCAGCAGGGCCATGACACCCCAGACAAAGTCACCCCTACTTTCACTTGCAAGGTACCAGGCAGCCTCCCTACCCCTCCGGTGGCCCTTCTCCAGGAGGACCAGAAAACAAACTGACCCGAAGTTCACATCCAAATACATCCCCGGCTCTGCTTCATCCAGAGAGGAAGAGCAGGAAAACCATTATGACTCCTAGCACGAGGAGCTTTTGCACAGACATACCTTCCAGCTCTGGTCTTGAAACCTTTCTGCTGATCTTCCATCTGCAGTTCCCAGTCGATGATTCCAGGGCCTGTTTCGCCACGGATGGAGGGTTTAGAGGCACGAGCTTCAGCCTGACCTCGGCCAGCAGCAGCGGGTTCCATGTGTCCTCGCACATCTTCAGCAAGGTTTAAGAGACATCCTTCAGAGCTGCTGTCCACCACGAACTCCGCAGCTCATGGCACAGACCAGTTTCAGACACCCTCCCACCGCAGAATCAGACCAGTATCTCTAAGCAGTTAAATTACCCATTCTGGAAAAAAACTCCAGACCTACAATTTTGAGAGCCCTTGTACAAAGGGCTTTTACAGACACCTCCCAGTGTGGGATTATTTTTAGTGTGGGAACCAGCCTGAGAAAGAGACCTGTCACTGAATATTCAAACTCCAAATCCCACTTTCCCGCTCAAGTACGCATCCACAGAAGGAGTTCCATAAAGAGGTTTCCCAGAGCTCACTCCCTCATTGTCCCACTGTCCCACCCGGCAGAGGAGGCAAGAAAGACACTGCTTGTTTGGTACGAGGACTTTTATTTGATGGAGAACGCGTTTACGCGATGCTCCCTGCGTTGGAGGCGATCCTAGGCCACAGATCCGCACACTCCTTGGCCACAGGGCCTGTGATTGCAGAGCCTGGAAAAGGGAAAAGAGGGAAAAGAGGATGTTAGTAGGTGCTGAGGTGGTTCAGGGTGACGTTTTACACAAACCCTCGCTCAGCCTGACCGTGCTCTCCCGAGGCTGAGGGGAACCCGGGTCCTTTTCAGCAGGCACAGCCAGGACCCCTGGCAGTGCCAACCTCCTGCCCTTCTCCGCACTCCCCTTTCGCCCGGCGTGGCAGGATCCGTGTCCGTACCTTTCATTTCGCCTTTGTTATTCACAATCACTCCCGCGTTGTCTTCGAAATAGAGGAACACTCCGTCTTTCCTCCGGTACGACTTCCGCTGCCGGATGACCACTGCCGGGTGGACTGCAAGGAGAAACGAGCAGCTCGGAATCCCAAACATCGTGTTATGCGCGTTCCAGCAGCAGATATCCCAGGGATACCATTCTGCTGCAGCATTTAACTCTGTGCACGGGTTCGGGGTCGCTTGGTTGGGTTTTTTTGCAGTTCCTCACTAAAAAAAGCTCCAGTTTACTTAAAACTGACTGTGTAGCACTCACAGCTGCGTCTACACTTGGACAATTCAGTGTTTTTCCACTTTCCCACCTTTATTTCTAAACACACCACCGATTCACAGACAACCTTCTCCTCCAGAGCGGTGGCAAACCTCTTTTTCCAGGGCGGAATGTCCCACCGCTGATTGAAATGAGCAGCACGGGCTGCCACTTCACCCAGAAGCGATGCCCTCGCTCTGCCCTTCCACGACAGCTCGCTGCGCCACGGCACGCAGACCCAGCGAGTGCTTTTCAGAAGGGTGGACCTAGCTCCAGGAATTCCGTGCCCGCTTCCCAAACGGTTTGAGGGGGGAACCGTGCTCCTCTCTGGAGAGCAGCCCACCTCTCCATCCCTGGAAGGAGGGATGTGACAGCACGGGCGGGCTCCTGGCACAGACACAACACTCCTCTCCACACTCACCCTTCTTCCTCAGCTCCGGCTTGCCCTTCTTGACGGTGGCCATCACCATGTCACCCACGCCGG